ATTCTTTTTAGTTTCTCGTGAAGCAGTCTGGACCTTCCTACTCTTCCAGAAGCATGGACCTTCTTTATCAAGCTGGTCACCCTTTAAAGACCCTTCAATATTCCTCCGGCAAGCTTTAGCAGGACTTGGACTAGCCTTCTTCATTCTTTTTTTCAACAATTCATCTTTACTCATAGCCTGAATCCTCTTAGTTCCCTTGGATTGTCTAGTAACGACTCCACCGGGAGAAAATCCTCTCTCTTCTCCTGGTGACAGTTTCTTTCCTGTAAGACAACTCGCCTCAGCATCAAACTTGCCACAGGCTCCAGAGGACAGATCATCAATCGCTTCAGCAGCCACTTGTGTATAATTCCCTAAAACTACCGCTTCACGAACTTCATCTAACTCTTTGCCAAGATTCTTTTTAGCACCCTGGATATTTTTTCGGCTCCTAGTCACACTATGCTGCAACAGTTTGGAATCAGAAGCCCTTCTTTTATCCACAGCAACTGGTATCAGTTCTCTTTTCTGTTCTCTAGGCAAGCTAGAAAATTCCCGTCTTTTACTTGCAACGCCAAAGAATTCATCTTTTCTTCTACGATAGATATCACCCCCTCCTTCATCCTCACGATTATCATCCCAGTCGAAAATATCGTTTCCAACAGCTCCGCTTTTGTAACTTACTTTCTTTGCTAATTCTTGTGGACCTTTAAAAATCTGAACAAATTTTGATTTTTCTTCTGTTTTCCTTCCATAGTCAGCTTCAACTTCAAAATCAAACTCTAGACGGCACTCACTAATGAGCTTATCAACCAAGTTAAGAGCACTGGCCTGGGATGCCTCGCCAGGTTCTTGAGAGTCAATATAACTCAAATTCCCCAGATCGACATTGCCATCAGTAGAATGACAATTTTCTTCAGGCAAATCCTCAATGAAAAGCTTCCTCGCTGTTTTGTTTGCTGTTCTTAAGTCATTTTTCTCTTCAACAAATATACTGGTAAGAGATTGCTGATTCCCTACTTCTCCAACACTATTTTCTAGACTAGAATTATGTGTGGCTCCTTTCCCAGAAGAATGACAGTTGATTAGAGTAGAACAGTCAGTGTTGGGGTTTGCCGCACGAGCTGCCACAGCAGAAGCACGAAAAGCTGATGAACGAACTGAAGCGAACCTAGCCACCTTTTTCCCTGGTAAAAGAAAAAATGGTCATTGGAAAAAGTGCAAATGAGAGAGGGAACTTGAAGAGAATATATAGAAAAAGAAATAACTGGGAAGAATGCAAGGCAGATATCGTCTTAAAAAAACTGCAACTACCAATGGTTTGTTACTAAAACACTATATACAACATCATGCTGGTTTACACAATTAACGAAGAATATCTCTCATGCTTATATAGGCTAGTAAGCAACTAAGCTAAGGTCAAAACATTTTGACCCGAGAAATATATACTGAACCTAAGTAGCCAACTTTAAATTTCAAACAAGGAGTTAGAAGAGAACTTGATACAAGAAAGGACAATAATATTCATTAACAAACTCTGCAATATTGGTTAGAAACTCACCCGAAACTCCATGTTCGTTCGACCAATTAGCATCAAGGGCAACTGTTGATTTAACCTTTTCATTAGCATCCTGTCTATTCTCTTCACTAGATAACACAGTTTCCGCTTTACTACACGAGTCATCACTATCAGAGAGCTCACTGTTATCCTCCAAGACATCAGTAACATCATCCTCACTATCCACAACAACTTCATCATCACAAAGATCCAAAACCTGAGTAGCCAAACCATCAGAAGCTTCAAGTAACTGTGTCCCCTCTACAAATACTTCTTCTCCGTTTTCAAATCCCAAATCAACCGCTTGAGTTTCATTACAAAGAAGAAATTCTTCATTATCACATTCAATATCAATGACCTGAGTCTCCATATATTGATCATTAATCCAAGCATCGTCTTCAAAAGGTTGTGTGTCACAATCCCCAAGCAAGCTATCTTTATCTTCACCTAAGATTCAGAACAAATTAGGTCAGGTAATAGTAAAATACAGAGAAGACACATAATAGTTTCCAAAATCTCAAACTAGAAATCAAGAACACAGAAAAATCAGATTTTTTTTTTATAACAGATCGATGAGAGGCAAAAAAATCAGAGCTTTTGATGAAGAATAAACCCTAAAAGAGATGGGTAAGTGTAAAAATTTACCAGAATCAGAAGGAGAAGAGGGATTAGAATCAATCGGTTGGGTCTCTTGATACGCAGAAAAGTTTTGATTTGCTTTAGCCATTGCGATTCATCCACTGACAAACTCCGACAACGATAATCCGATTCGCCGGGATTGATTTGACTAGAGGAGAATTTTGACGGAGGATTTGCGATTTTCAATGTAGATCCGAAAGTGAGAAGAGGAAGAAGAAAGCCGACACAGGATTTTAGGCGCGTAAAAGACAGACACTAAAGTAGTTTCGTTAGGGTTCGCGGGGAGTGTGAATTACCACCTAATATCTGGAGGGAAATAAACGTAACAAGGATAAGATAGTTATAGTTGTAGTATAACATAAAAGGGCGTTTGGTCTAGTGGTATGATTCTCGCTTAGGGTGCGAGAGGTCCCGAGTTCAATTCTCGGAACGCCCCCAATTCTTTTTTATTTTTATTTATATTGTTTATTGGGTTTTTAAACTCAATTATAGAAGAACTAGTCACACATGACCATAGTACATGTGCTCATGTAGAAGAAGAGATCAAGAGTTTAAGAAGATATTACCAAAGGTTTTAATCTCGAGATGGGTACCAAGTTCGAATCTCGAGATGCTCATATATATATTTTTTTTTCCAACCATTAATGGGAATATCTCTGCACTTTGCAATATCAAGCAGCCAACAATCATCAAATCCCATTTTAATTTTTTTTGTATAAACACTGTTACTGTTTATGAAGGCAATTTCATAATCATCTAAGTATTTTACTTCTTCGAATAAACAAAGCTAAGTGGTATAGACTCAGGTCAAAACTACTGAGCTAAGCCCTGGGGATTTCTCAAGACCTCTTTTCTCCATTTCTACTCTCAATGCTTCAGCTGTTTCCCATCTCTCGGTGTGTGCATACAAGTTCGATATCGACGCAAGATGGTTCTCGCAGTCACTGTTAGTGATGCTTCCCACAGTCACGATGATCTTCATCACTTGTTCAGCTATTTCTGTATCCATATGAACCTTACATGCACCAAGTAAAGCTCCCAATACTGTATCATTCGGTTTCACAGGCATTTCTCTTACCAATCTGTAAGCTTCTTTCAGTTTTCCGGAGCGTCCCAATAGATGTATCAAACATCCAAAATGCTTTACATTCGGTTTCACGTCTTGAGTTTTCATCTCCGAGAATATCTTTAGACCTTCCATTAGAAAGCCTCCATGGACACAAGCAGTGAGAACCGCCAGAAAAGTGATCTCGTCAGGCTTTAAATCTAAGCTCCCCATTGTTCTGAACATCTCTAAAGCTTCGTTGCCTTTCCCATGAATGGCAAGACAAGAGATCATAGAGTTCCAACACGCTAAACTTCTCAGACTTAACGACTCAAACACGGATGTCGCATTCTCTAGATCCCCACATTTAGCATACATATCAATCAACGCATTTGAAACAAACTGATTAAGCTCAATTCCTTTACGGTTAATCAGAGAGTGAACTTCTCTGCCAACATCAAGACGGCCTGACTGAGCACAAGCAGATAAAACACTTGAAACCGTTACCGCATCGGGTTCATACCCTTCTCCTTGCATATTATAGAAAGCATCAATAGCATCACCAGAATACCCATTCTGTGCATAACCAGTGATCAAAGTGTTCCAAATCACCAAATCACGAGCAAAAACTCGATAAAAAACACTTGTAGCCTCATGCACATCACCTATCCTGAAATACCCGGAGATCATCAATGACCATACAAAGGAGTTCTTCTCCGGTATATCCTCGAAAAACTTCCTTGCATCCTCCATTTTTCGATGACTAACGTAAACTCCGAGCATCACTGACCAAGCCTTCACATTCTTCAACTCAAAAGGCATTCTCTCAAACAATTCTCTAGCTTTCTCAATCTCTTTTCTCTTACCATACCCTTTCATCATCTCGATCCAAGTCACCGTATTTCTACAAACCGATATCTCTTCGAACAATCCACTAGCCGAAACTGCATCCCCATTACCCATATACCCACCAATCATAGCGTTCCAAGTAGCTACGTTTCTCTCAGGCATTTCGTCAAACACCTTACGTGCAGAAACTACACATCCCCATTTCCCATACATACTGATCAGAGAGCTTCCCACCATAACATCAGAACAAACACCGAACTTGATCGATTCAGAATGTAACAGCTTCCCAAGAACAACACGTGGAACAACGCAAGCACATGCCTTTAAAATCAAAGGAACCCATCCCGGAAAATACACTCCTCTGCGGCGGATTCCTCCGTACAAAACTAGAGCTTGTATTGGTGATCCTCTAGATATATGATTCTTTATAAGATTCGACACATGAAACTCACCTAACGATAAATGTTCCTCCAAATTCATCACCACTGTGACCAAAAATACGAGTTTGTCTGAAAGAAAGAATAGAAATGAGAGTTTGCTTCGCTGATCGAAGTAGAAAGGTCTCTTTGAGAATCAAAATTCTTGTTTTCCAAATTTTGTTATTACAAAAAGGGTAACTCTTGTCAGTTTGTGTCTCTGTCCTAAAGACAAACCCTAAAGACTTCTGTTGTTTGCCTCTCACACTATCCCACTTATCGATTTGAATATTATTCTGCCATGAACTGATCTTCTAGTTGCGGTGAAATGGATCAATCCAATCATCAGATGAGAAGAGCTTCATTCTTGTTTAACTCATCTAAATCCACTCTCACTCTCAAACCAGAGTTTACCAAAGCATTGACCATTGCAGGGATGTCAGATTTCAGTGATGCAGCTACAGCCTAGTATTAAGGAGACATGGTTTAGGTTACGAGCTTTTTTGGTTTTGTGTAATACATAAAGTGAATTGAATGGTCTACTTGGAGGGAGTTTTACCTTCTTGTCTTCTTCATTTTGGTGCTTGATAATGTCCACAGGCCACTCGTTTACCAGCTTCTTGAATTCAGCCTCAAATGCTGACTTCTTCTCATCAGGATACGCCTGTGAAGAATATACACAAGGTACTTAGAAAGTTCTTTGATCCTGGAAAAAAAGAAAAGATATTTAACAGGTTCTGGCTCACACCTGACAGATGATTTGGATTACAGCAGCAGCTTCTTCAGGTTTATGTTCTAGCAGAAAGCCCTGAGAGAGAGAGAGAGAGAGAGAGAGAGAGAGAGAGTTAGCAAAAGTTTCAAGGACAATCCGAAATTTGGTTCTAGAAAATATGAACAGGAGTGATTATGCCCATAACAGGAGGATGCATAAAGAACTAATTTACCTTTGCACATGAAAAAGCACCGGAAAGGGTGTGTTGAGTGTAAGTCTCAGATCTCAGTTTATCAACATTCCATAACGACTCTGTGTCTCCTGATAAAGCATGAGTACAATGAGACAGTAAGCAAATTGACATCCAAATAGTAGGAAATCTTTCACAAGTCGAATTGTGTTATACTCTGATTTAATTCTCTTGCTCACATCTAAAGTTTTGCCTGTTCTAACACTAACGGAGCCTAAATCCGATCTGGGGTCAGGTCATTCATGAGATTACATAAAAGAAAAAAAATCATACATCTGGTCCCTTTTACCAAATTGGCTACCAAAATTTATCTGTTCTGCCAATACCTATAGATATCGCAACAGTTAAGATGGCATATCTCAAAACACCAAAGTTAGGCATATGATAGGTTAATATCTTGTCTGATGTTTACGTAGGCATTTCTCAAGACCACTTAAAGTTCAAAATACGAAATGGTTGTAACAAGCTCCTCTATCGACCAAAGAATCATTGGAAGTACAACTAAGGAAACCAACTACACTAAATGTACCTCTTTTGGCAGCAAATTCCATCCAGACATCAAATGTGGTCTTCCTGAGCTTGACTCCAGCTTTGCAGAATTTCTTCGAGTACTTAGCTAATAGATCCCAGTTATCTGTATCATGACAGATCCTGCAAACATTCAGTTGAAGTTCATTGCACGATACTAAAGCTCTTCGAATTAATGAGCCATGGAAATCGGAGCACTAAATCCGCTGAAAAATGAGCAACAAACTGATCTACACACCTGAAAACAAAATCCGCTGTCCCAGGTTGTAAAGGCAGATTATTCATTTTCAGGAGTTTCATTACTTCATCCATGAGTTTCGCGTCCTTGTGCTCTAATGCGTATGACTACAACAAACCAGCAAACATCCTTAAAAATGTGTGAGCCAAAGAAGAAACAACCAAACAACTTATCGACTTGCAATACCAGTAAATGGTGTGCAGATGCAACGCTCGGAGTCAGCCCGTGAACATTATGTTTCCAAAGAGCCCTTTTACCTGTGGTCCAAATTAGAAAGAGATATTAGTGTAGACAGTTTCTGGGAACAGCTCAGCCAGTTCAAGAGTGAAAACCTTAATAAAAGTGAAGCAAAACTAAAAGGTTTGGGATTACCATGGTTAATTGTACCCACACGTACACAAGTCTTAGCAACATGCTGGCATAGATTGCAATTAAAGTTGTCATGAATACGAAGATTGGACAATCTCTACAATCCAACATGTAAGAACGTCAATTAAACCCTAAACCTCAGACTCCATCAGAACAAGGAACACAGAAGGGAGAAACAAAGCACTCACAAATCTCCGGAGATTCTGCAGAACCTCAAACAGAAAACTAATGTCATCCTCGTTCCGACAGTTCTCAATCAATGACCACAACCAAGCATTTGGAGCCATTGATCTCTTGACATTCACAGAATCAAGTATTTTACCATGTAATTCCTTGACAGCCTCTTCACACACAGAGCTAAATTCGATCAGGAAACATTCTAACTAGCTCAAATTCCAAGTAAATCGTCAAAAAATCTAGAAACCTGTAGGATTCTCGACATGTTTTGTTTCAGAGGTAAAGTTAGCTCTCAGCATCATCAACCCCGTCATAGGTGATTGAGCGTACAACTGATTACAAGTATCCATTTTTCCTATGAACCAAACAACTACTACTGATGATAAATTTCTTCAATCATTTAAAATTAGATTATGTGTGAAAATGAAGAGATCGTACCTGGAAATGCAGAGTGGGAAAGAGATCGATGGCTCGGCCGTTGAACAACATGAGAGGCATTGTATACAAATCTCACATCGGTCTCCATGAGAGCCACCCTAGCGATTCTACGAGAGTACGATAGATATTGCATGACTTCGGGATCAAGTGCAGAAGAAGAGTCTGCAAGAACTCAGGATTTTAGGGTTTATGAATTTTGCCCCCCAAAAGGATAGTATTTGCATAAAACACCCATTCTTATTATTTCTTTACACATGACCCCGTTATTTCTCTCAGATATACGTTAGTCCTCTCTCGTATAATAAGGGTTTTGCGCAAAAAAAAACTCAAACTAGTTCATTTTTGCAACATTACCATTCACTTCCAGAATTAAAAAAAAAAAACTAATATATGTGACTAGAAAAACGTTTACAAAATATGTGTAATGGTTATATTGCGTATTATTTTGGATTTCGTAGGATAAATCTGCATTTTTCGGAGATAGAAGGCAGAGCCGGCCTTAGGGACAGGCTGATGAAGCATCAGCTTGTGGCCCTCTTAAATATAAGTAAATTTTCGGCCTCCAATTTTAACAAAGTATCCTTTAGTTCAGGTGGTTACGTTTAAGTTAATAGAGAAAGTTGGTGCAGGCTTCGAAGTCATTATTGCTCTTTATAAAACTTTCAGTTTTTTTTAGCTTATTAATTTTATAGGTCCAAAAAAAATTGTTGCTTGTGGCCCATAAATTTGTTGGGCCGGCTCTGATAGAAGGTAAAGTTGCAAAAATGAGCAAATTGGAGAGTTTTTTAAAACAAAAATCCATACAATAATCATGACAAAATTTTCTATTTATCATAAATAATATATTTTAAAATTACTAAAAATTAAAAATTCAGTGTATTCAATCTGAGGATGGTTGAGTGCACAAGAACAGTTTCTTCGATGCAAGGACTCATGATGTTAGGGTTAACGGATTTTTCTCCCCAAAAATATAGTATTTGCATAAAACACCATATACTTGTTATTTCTTGCAGACATACGCTAGTCCCTCTCTCGTTAGAGTCAGAGAGACGACAAACACACAAAGTTACGAATATTATTACTTTCTCTCTACTTCAATTTACTAGTTATTTCTAAGATTAGAAAGTTTGATTTCGACATACAATATCTGGAAAACAGACGCGTCATGATTGAAATTATGATATATGTATAAAACAAACAAATAAAAGTATTTATTAAACACAACTTATTTTTAAAACAAATCATATGTGCTATCGAAGTGCATAGTACTATAGACATTCTTGAGTTTTCATAATTGTGAATAATTGCCAACTTGAAATTACAAACACGAAAGAGATTTTCGTTGTTTTTGGTACAAGATTATTTTATAACACTAGTAAATTTTCAATATATAAAAAGTAGCTTTCAAATTACTATAAAATTGAATATAGTTTTTTTAAATTGCTTATATAATTTAATATATTTATAAAAATTGCCTACCAACTCAAGTGAAAGTCGGATTAGGAATGTTTTGGCTATTAAATTTTTTTTTTTTTTAAAGTGTTTAAAGTCCAAATTAAAATTAAAAGAAGTTTTCACGGAAGTTCGAATTTAATAAATTTTATGAACATTTTTAAAAGCTGTTAAAGTGATAAAGCTCGATTGATATAAGTATGGTTTTAATACTTTTAATACTTAAAAGTAAAATAAAAGTTCCTACAATTTTTAAAACCTAAACACCAACCGGCCCCTAGTAGGATTTTGAGTATTGACACGTATTAATTGGTTTGGTTTTGGGGATGGCAAGTCGGTAATGAGATTGTAACAAGTGGTGATATATGTTTATATTTGGGAGAATCGATAGCTTTATCCAACAGGCCCATTCATGAATGGTGGTCACGTTACTCTCAATCTGTCATCATATTCTCTTGATCCTATTCCATGACACAGAATCGAGGAATATATATATATATCTTTTTATATATTTTTTAGTTAAATGAATAAAGGTCGATACATGCATATTATTAATGCATCATTATTCAAGTGTGGAACAATTTGGCGCTATTCAGGACAATGATATGGATTTCTGTAAGAATGTTAAAGACTTCAGGACAACGTTAACAACATTGTTTCCTATGTTATAATGAAGAAACAAAAAAAATAAAAAAATAAATAATAGGACTACTGACGACGGCTTTGTCTAGAGACTTGTAGATGATGACCAGTATCTTAAATTTAAATTTTTGGTGTTGGAGAAACAATAAATTTCAGGAGATTTTAAATTTAAAAAATTGGTCCCAAACAAGTGAATTTCAAATTGCAAAATGTCAACTCCAAAATTATAATTGTTTTCAAAAAAATATGAAAAATGGATATAGAATTTTCGAGTAGGTGAACATAGAATATCAAGAATATATCTATATATCTAGCTAGATGCGCCAATGCTCATATATAATATGACGATAAATGCTTCAAGAGGTCCAAAGATCGTCCACTAGTTTTATAGCGTGATTTATCTGACTGATCTTATTAGAATATTACTAATCATCAACGGTTTCGGTTACATCCGATTTTCGTGATTACCTCAGCTTTAGTTTCGATTCAAAGTTTGGATGATAAAGAGAATTAAGTATATAGTGTTTTGAGCCAATTAATCATCAACAGACATATCGTTGCATCTAGTTTGGTATCAACTTCAGAGGACACGTTCAGTGGCGGATGTAGAACATTTTTTAGTCCGGGGCACAATTTTATAAATTAATATAAAATAATAGTAAAAATAATGTTTATTATAAAATTATCCTACAAATGCATCATATTTTCCTTCATTTTATAGAATATTTTCATCACTATTTTATTCGTCATTTTACCAGACAGTTTTTTTCCAACAAGACTATCTAAAAATATTGTTTACCAACAATATCCATATGAATTAGTTATAAACGATTAACTTACAGTGCTCATGTCGTTATGTGATGTTCTTGGCTTCTTGCAACTTGAGAAGAAGATAAAAAAGAGTTGAAAATGACAAATTATGTTTATCTAGGTCAACAATGCTTTATGCATATGGTTTAAACTTTTTATATATGACTTTTTCCAACGAGCCTTTTTGTCGAATTTAGGAAAAGCAGTAGGGTTTTATGTGGATTGTTAGGTTAATAAATTTTTGGGCTGAAGCACTTTGGTTTTCTTTCTCAATTGGGCAGGGGCACGTTTCTGATCTTTTTCAATTGGATTAAAGAAATTTGCTGAAATTTTATAATTACTTCTATAATTACAAAAGCAAAAAAAAAAAGTAGTAGGGGGCACGTGCCTCCCCTTGTTATGCCTTAGATCCGCCCCTGGACACGTTTCGAGAATCAAAGTCAGAACAGTGTAGTACTTCAAATTCTAAAAATAATTATAGTATTACAAAAGGTAAAAAAGTAAAAACGAATGAAGTACACAAAATAAGAACTAATAATTTGTTTGTTTACTTAATCATCAAAGCATAAGTATACTTAGATTGCTCGTTGTGACGGAGAACTCTGTCCTTCAGGCCAATTTTAGCTAATTAATCATCAATGGTTGCGGTTATATTATATTTGGTGATTAATTACATCAAACATTCTTTCGATCAAATCGATAGGAGATTAAAATCTCTAATGAGGATATATGAATCCGAATCTTACCATTTACCTAGAATATGACTGTAGCACACTAAACCAATAGTAGCTAGCTACTTGAGGAATTTTGCAAATACAATTGCCATGTCGCCACTTGCATTACCGTACGGTTCTTTGTTTTTGGATTTTGGCTTCTTTGATATCTCAAGAGTCACAACGAATTCTATGTCCCGTCATCTTTAATTACATCATCTTAATCACTAAGAATATGAACTGTTTTGTTATAGTAAACCCAACATGCAATTACAAAACTTTAACAAATTAACAAAAACAACATGCAATATAATTACAAAACTGATCGAGCGTGCATGGAGTGTGAACAACTCTACTATGGACGATGTTTTAACTTAATAAAAAAAAAAACAAATTAATTATCTACTTTGAATTTGTGTTTCTGTCTAGTTCTTGTCATAAATGGCGACGTAAATCCCCCTGCGGCAAGAAAGTGATGATCGAAGAGAATCAATGCAAAGTTGACATTCCCTTAACACGTAATATTGATCCCCAAATATTGGAATTTTTTCTCTTCACACATCATCATGATCACAAGTTACTATATGCATATCTTGATCTCTATTCTCTTCACTCTCTTACTCACAATTTGTCAACTCTCCAGCATCATATCATCAGCTTCTCTTATCCACAATCCATCTTCCCACAAAATAAGATTCTCCCTTTAGCGTTGCTCCGTCATTAATCCAAAGATACCTCTATTCATAAAGATTACATGCGAGTATGTGTATATATAGAGTTCCAAGACTCACCTCTCCAAAACAAACTCATCAAAACAAAATTAAATCTCCAACCACTTCAAAGAAAAGAAATATATACATACCAAAAGAGTATTACTATACAAATGGATGTGGTAGCAAGATTAGCGTCGCAAAGAGCAGTGGTGATATTCAGCAAGAGTACGTGTTGCATGTCTCATGCAATTAAACGGTTGTTTTACGAGCAAGGTGTGAGCCCGGCGATTGTAGAGATCGACCAAGACATGTATGGGAAAGATATCGAGTGGGCCTTGGCGCGATTAGGCTGTAGCCCTACGGTTCCTGCGGTTTTTGTCGGAGGGAAATTCGTAGGAACGGCCAATACCGTCATGACTCTTCACCTCAATGGATCGTTGAAAATGTTGCTCAAGGAGGCTGGTGCTTTGTGGCTTTAGCACTCATTTGATCTTTACTTTGAGTCTTTGAAAGTCTCTTCACTTTATGTACGTTTAATTAAAGCATATGTGAAGAAGTACTACTTTGTATTGAGAGTTATTAAATATATGTCTATGTGGAGGTTGATTTAAGGATCAACTATAACCCATTAATTCACAATCCAAATACATGCAACTTTCCCTTCAAGAAAGTTGTGACGAACAAGCTAGTATAATGTTGATTATTAATAATTTTGGACATTTCTCGAAAACAACACATTTTATGTCTAGTTTTACAAAGCTATCATCAAAATCCTAAATTGTAAACATAACATAAATTTTGGAGATAAGCAAGCTTTACAAAAAAAAGAGTTTGCAGGCAAGTCCCCCCATATGTAAAAGAATTTCGTGCCCATGTCTAAGAGACCAAATAGCCTCACATAGTATTTGCAAACGGTAGAATCGAACTCATGACCATAACAAGTTTATGTCATTTTAATATTATAGTCGAGACTCGAGACCACTATGAAGATGCAGTTATTTTGGTGTTCTGTACTAGTCGTTGATGTAGTACAGAAAGTAGTACAAGATGTGATTCAGGAAGATGAGATGCATAACTACTGATGAGGAGCTCGAGTACTTGGGTGTTTGAGCGTTTGTCAAGTCAGGAAAAAGAAAATTATCTTTGTTTGAAGACAAAAGGAATCATGTAAGTAAAAGGAAGTGTGCTTGAAGAGAAAAGGAAATTGGCAAAAAGGAAAACCTTTTCCTTATGGGATTTGGAAACTTTCTCTTATGTGTGATTGGAAGAACTTGAGGCGCAAGTTTTTGTTTGTTATATAAGGGGGACGTGACCTTATGAGAATGTGGATTGGCAAGAGTAAAAATCCCAAAGAGATTTGATGTGAGAGATTGTGTGTGTGATCGTGTGCGACGTAGTTTCGCGGGTTTGTGCTTGTGTGATCAAGCTTATTTGTGTGTTGGTGTTGACGGTTCATATTGGAGAATCTTGGTGATCGTTGGGTTCGTTGGCTTGACGGTTCGTGTGTGGTGGTTGTTCCAGAGACTTGGAGAATTGAACTCTAGACTCAGGGGGAGTTTAGCTCAGGGTTAGGTTATCCTGATTAAATCTAGGCTCAGGAGAGTTTAGTTAAGGGTAGAGATTTATCCTTAAGATTTCATGTTGATAGAACGGAGCGGTGAATCAAGAGGGTTGTGCTTGGTTTACGCGTTTGCGAATAGGTTGTATTTGCTTTCTTGTTTTAGTGGAATCGAAATCTGGACTTGGTCCCGGTGAGTAGGAAAAACCGAACCTCGTTAACAAATTTCTTGTCTCGTTTACTTTCTGCAATTTATTTGACCTCATCCGTACTTACACACTATGCCAATATGCCCACACTATATTATCCAACATAACTGACAAGTCAAAATGTTTTAAAATATCATATATAAAAAATGATCATATAATAATTTAAAATTTGAAATCATGTTTTAAAGTTAACATTAAAATTTCTTAACATTGAAAAATCTTAGAAAGAGAGGCGAAAAAATAGAAGAGCAGCATATTTCAACCAAGAGTCGGAAGGTGCTATAACTTCGCCGTCACTTGGATTAAAGTTGACATGTTTCATTTTAAAGTTTGAATGGGGGATTTCTTCTCACATCCATCTTTTGATTTCATGAAAGAGCAAAGGATGGTTTCTTCAACAAATCCACAAACAAAGATTCTTGGCGACAATTTTCTGGCTAATCTTCCATCTCTTAATTAATTTGTTATACGTAACCGAGAAGACTTCTTTTTGTTATATTTTGGTGGTCCGCTATTTTTTTTTTTTTTTTTTTGTGAAACTTTGCTTAATATAAATAAACTCAAACTCCCAAAACAGAGGAGGAGGAACAAGATAACAGTGCTGACTTAGCAAGCAAATCAGCCTGAGAGTTTTCAATAAGAGGAATAAAATGAAACGAGACAGAGAGAAAGTTGGCCTTGAGAAGCTTGATGTCTTCCATAATGCCGTCAATCTCGTTAGCATGACCTTCGGCATTGAGGAGGAGCATAAGCTCTTGACAATCCGAGAAGCAGGCCACTCTTGATGCACCCAAAGCTAAAGTCGCCGAAATCGCCGCTTTTAAGCCAGTGACTCTGCTACAAGAGCAGAAGAAACAAAGGGTCTTGAGGAGGATCCATGTTGGATCAAAACCTTGGATGGATCCTTGATGATCCACCCCAAACCGCAACTACTGCTCTCCGCCTTCCATGCCGCATCAGAGAAGCAACACAGAGCATCACTGCGAGGGGGGTTGCGGATCTCACGAAGTTTGCTTGGCTGAGGAGGAGGAGAGAGAGCTCTGGCCTCTTGCCACGCTTTTGCTTCCTTAATAGCTCTGCGGACTGTATCTTCCTCAGAACAGAGTTAGTTTTCAAAAACCAGAATATTACGAGCCTTCCACAAGAACCAAAGCAACCAAGGGAAAAGATGAGTCAGCCCAACACCCACCGGAGGGAGAGTGATCACTTTGCGTGCTTCCACAAGAAGCTCTTTCACACTCCAAGGTTCACGCAAGATAGGCAGCCTATTAATTGGAAGGAGTTCCCACGTCCACCTTGCAAAAGGGCAATTAAAAAACAAGTGCTCAGCACTCTCCACTTCTCCACATATCTTACAATATGTATCAGCTTCCAACCCTCTAGCCGCCAGAGCCAAACCAACAGGGAGAGCGTTGCGAGCCACTTTCCACAGGAACATCTTTAGTTTTGGTGAAGTACGGACCTTCCAAACACTAGTTCCCCAATTGAACTTGTCGAGAAGAGGGAGGACTGTGCTGCTCCTGCTCAGATTGTAACCCGATTTGGTCGAATAAGACCCCGCTTTGACCGGGAGCCAGCGAAGCTTGTCTGGTTTTTTAACAGAACTCAAAACTATTTTGAGTATATTTTCCTCATAAAGAGGTACATGCAGCCTTATTGCTTCAAAATTCCATCTTGTAGAATTAGGAAGAAGGAGATCCTTGACCAAAAGATTGCAAGACAACAGAGGCGGTGGGCCCATTGGGCTTAAAGGGAGGGAGGAAGACAACCAAGGCGTATTCCACACACTAACAGACTCCCCATTTCCTATAATCCACCCCACACCTTGTTTTAAAAAATTTCGACCTTCAATGATCCCTCTCCAACCATGAGAAGCCGGTACAATGGACTCCATAAAGGAGGAGGAATGACAATATTTGCCCAAAAGAACTTGAGCGAGCAAGGACTCCGGATTACTCAAGAGAGACCAACCGATTTTTGCAAGAAGGGAGTCATTAAAGGTAGCAATATCTCTAAACCCCAACCCCCCACTATCCTTTGGCTTTGTGAGCTTACTCCATGCCACCCAACACATCTTTCTTTTATCCGGTTTTTCATTCCACCAAAAGCGGGTGAGAGCCGATTGGAGGCACTTGCAAAGGGACTGAGTTTTTGTAGTAGTTTGTTATTCTTTTATTTATCCATTTCTTCTCTTGGCTTTAAACCGGGGATATCTACAATTTTCCACATCCACGTTGGCAGGTGAAGCAGTCATGGAATTTTTCCAGTTTTCTTCGCTTGAATTCAAGAGGTTATCTTGTCGTAATCTAATTATTTAGTTGGTTTATTTCACTCGAACTTTAGTTGAGTATATCTTGAGGTTACCGATGTCGTCGAATAACAAACGACTCCAAAATTTTAAGAGATAGACACATCGAGCTAGAGTAATTAAGCATATATTTTAACTTTAGAAATCTACCAAGCATCAAGCGAGGACATTCCATATATTTTCGGTGAGCTTTGTGGTTTCTATCGACATAAAAAAAATTCTGATTAGAATGAAGAACTGGTGAATATACACAATTAAGATTTTTTATTGCATGTGTTTGCCGATTCTCTTTGTTAATTGTGGTGAATTTGCAACCGGATGAGTTTGTTTATATTTGTATCTTCTACCTTTACATGTTATTGTCATCAGCGGTGAGAATCTAAAAGAACCGATATTCAGTTAAAGTTTTTCCAGACGAAGATTTGTAGTTCATCGGAACTAGGTACAGAGACGGTAGTAATTGATGGAAGCCCTTACTGTTTTCCTCCAACATATGTCGCACACTTAGTTTTTGTTAAGGTTCATTACAACTTACAAGTGTATAATATGATGTAGATAACTTCATCCAATATTTTTCTTAGTAATATCCTATGTTCTAATAATGTCACGGGCTGTTTTTCTTTTCGTAGGCCCATTTAATTAGGGCTTTGTAAGATTTTTATGTCAAGATAGATTTTTGAGATATTACAGACGGTTAAATTTATTATTTGAAAAAATATTGCAAGCTTTTGAATAATTGTAGAGCAAACATGGTAAACAAAACTATCCATAAAGAGGTGTTCATGTACCAGCCTTCCCTTAAAACAATGTGTTTCTATTGAGCTGGATTGAAGCAGTTCAAACATAGCGATACCACGTGTCGCGTTTTAATTTGTAAGTGATATTACTTCCAACAACAATTTAATACCGGAGATTTTTTTCGATATTTGGTATATTACTTCCAACAACAATTATAATTTTCCTAATAAGTAATCTTTCGACAAATATTTCTTAGTTAGTTTACTTTTACCATTTAAACAACTTTTTCAAATAAGAAAATACATTGAACAACAAACTATTATCAAATCTATGTTCTCTATATAATATCTTATCCCAAGAGATATACTACAACGGGATCACCAAAGCTCTCGTTTCCAAATCTATTAAAAAAGGTATGCGATTTTTTATCCACACGTAGATGATAATGTCTGACAGTGATTTACTCACTAGTGTCGCCGTCGTTTCACCATCAAAATTTAGTTTCAATGAATACAATTGTGATTTTCAGTTTTGCACTAGTGTCACCGTCGGTTCACCACATATTTCTAATTGTCAAGTGAACGCGATTGAGATTTTCAGTTTTGTATTAGTTTCGCCGTTGTTATACCATAGAGTTTTAGTTTTTCAGTAAACGTGATTGTGATTTTCAGTTCTGGTGTTGCCGTCGATTTATCGTAAAATTTAATTTTCAAGTAAACACTTGTAGCGCTGAAAAGAAAACAAATCATTTTGGGGTTATGCTCTTTTTTTTGTATGGAAAAGCTTGTTAGATTTGATTTTGACCTTACAGATTTTTATCTGACTAACTGTCACCAGTTATCTATATATGTTGTTTCCAATATTGATTGCAGTGAAACAAACATATTTCTAATGATCATTTATATATTCATAATAATGTTCTCTCTGTTTTTTGTGGGTCTGGAAACATCAACAGATTCTCCTCGATGTTGACGTATAACACAATGATGGTTATCTACAAAGCTGCACCAATTGCGATCATAGCGATTCTAATCGCTCTCTTCTGGATTTCCAGAATGCTGTGTGGCAAAAACTCCCAGACCAGTTCAACCGGTAAGTCTCTCTTCTTGAAATTATAACCACACTTAGTGTTTTTATACATATGATGTACTAATAAAATGACAAAAAAGCTTTTTTAAAAATGTGTCTTTTCTATATATATATATAGAAGTAGAAGACAAAAACAAATAAACATTAAGTATTAGTTAATGTGCAAGTACTGTTACATATAGATTTAACTACTACACCTTTTGATGCTGATCATGTAAGTAATTACATCTTTTGATGCTCTTGTAATTCACGTCTACAAGTGACGCCACAACGCCTGATTGAGTTCTCGATGGAGGAATTAAGGCAAGCAACGAACAATTTCGACCTGGATAATAATCATCTTGGGTTTGGATGTTACGGATTAGTTTATACTGGGCTGATCGGAGACAGGATCGTTGCGATCAAAAGGGAGTGGCTTCATCTCCAGCCTAGATTCTTGGATGAGGTACACGAAGAAAAGTTTGTTGATTTTCACTGAAAATAATATATATGTATATGTGACATATTTGTGGTATGTGTCTCAGGTTTCTTACATGTCTAAAATCCAGCATGAAAATTTGGTTAATCTGATCGGTTATTGTTGCGAAGAAGGGAACCAATTGCTCGTCTTTGAGTATATGGTCAAGGGTAACGTGCGAGATTATCTTGGTGGTAAGTAATTAATGCATTATAGTGAACTCTTGAAATCTGATCCATACATCATTTTTTTCTGTGATATATCATCTCTCTTGTTCATTGAGTAGATTCTAGTGACTTCACGTTCAAGAAAAGGATATCTGTAGCTCTTGATGCAGCCAAAGGTAAATCAAAATGGATGATCCAAAACTCACATCAATTGTTTGTAGTGTCTTTCTACAAAATAATATTAAAAGTCTCTCTGTTTTTCAATTCAGGGTTGCTACACTTGCACAACTTAGATCCTCCAGTACAACACAAGAGATTTAGGACGGGTAAAGTTTTGCTTGATGCCGACCTCAATGCCAAGGTATCGGATGCGGGAATGTTGGGACTGCTTCAAGATCGTGATCTTCGTCTCCTTAATCCAAGGTATTAATTCACTTATGATAACTTTTATCAATATTCCTTCAAAGTCCTAACAAATATATTCTTGTGAAGATTTGATTTTTCTTATCTTTTCTATAGAGGTGGTTTAGAGGAGACCATTGATGTGTATAGCTTCGGGTTGTTCCTTCTAGAGCTTATCACTGGTGAAAAACCTGGACTGTTACAATCAACCTTTGAAATTATGCAATGGGTAATAGAAAAAAACCTCTCTTTCTCCATGGCAACCTTTTTTTCTTTTTTTTTTTTTTTAATTAAATTATTGTATGTACTTAAAAATATATTGTTTGGAAATGTATCTGTGATTTGTAGATACTTCTGCGACGTTCTACAAACACACTTTTGGATGATAATATGCCTGGAACGTTCACGAACCAATCGTTGGAGGCTTATATGAAGATTACTATAGAATGCTTGACATATCCCGCGATAGATCGCCCGAAGATGGATATGGTTGTGACCGAGCTTGAGACGATTTACCAGAATGAAGTCATCAATGAAGAGCATGAGGTTGCTCTAGGAAGTGAGCTTTTTAACATAACCATTCAGTGAGAGCGAGACATGTTGTTTGTATCAGTCTATTTCGAAACCTTAAAAGGCTATAATAAAAGATAAGACTATAATAATAAAAGATTTCAAACAGAATCCAATTTGGGTCTTGTAGACTAAACCGGTTTAGCCAATACAACCCCCGCATCGGATTCGAATAAATTTGGTTACAATAACCGGATTAAACCAAAACGGATTTAATTTGTAGGTTTGTTTAAAAAACTGATTGCATCTTCGCAAAATTATATAGAGAGAGTCTCTGCAACAAAATCGAAACAACGAAAATTTACATTTTATCGGATTTTTCTAATTTTTATTTTTATTTTAAAGTTTTTCGCGGTTATATCCCCAAAAATTGTTTCAATCTCTTGTTTTGCTGCTTCTTCATCTTCCACAATCGCTCCTTCGATCGCTCAAAACCCGTAGAAGCTCTGATCTGTTCATATTCCGATCTCTTCCCGGATTTCTCCGATTTCTCTCTGTAATTTATTCTTCAAGTCCCGGCGATGGCTTCCAAGTGATTTTGGATTCGTGTAGGTAAGCTCTTTCAATCCTCTCTATGATTTCTTTTCAAATAACTTTGAGCTTTAATCGTTCTTCCTGCAATTTTCGTTTTTTAATCGGTAGGAAAGTTTTCTGGATTAGGTGCGAAGTTTGTGAGTTCAAAATTTGGTTCTCTTTTTGTTTCTGGGGAATCTTCGCACTGAATATTGAGCTTTGGATTTCGAAATTCGAAGGGTGTCAGGTCTTGTGATTTGAATTCGCCTAAGTTTCAGTATTACTACCTACCTGGAGTTGCTTAATTTTCCAATTTGGATAAGTTGTTTCTTAAATCTTCTCTGGGTTTCATACTCTATTGAGCGCAAGTAGTGTTGACACTGATAATCAGCACTCTTTTTGGTGTGAGGTGGGTTTTGCATGTAGACTTTAGTTTCATTAGTCAGTTTCTTTGGAGATGATTCACTAATTAATAGGTGTATTTAATCTATAAGGATTGTTGAGCCTATGATTTATTGTGTTTGTATCTTGGTGAAATCTAAAATTGGTTTCAATTTTGGGAATGTTTCAGGTAACAGAAGAACTTAACTTATGGCGCCCTCAAGATCAAAGAAATCTAAGTACAAGAAAAAGCCCCGTGCTAAAGCTATTTCTCCTCACAAAGACGAAGATAGTATGAGCAAAACCAAACAACGGGTAAGCTATTTTCTCAATGTTTAACTGGATGACCTCAACTTTAGGTAGGGTTATGTATTGCTCAGCCTGAAATTTGATTGGGAAATTTTGCTTAGTTAGGCTGCAGAAGGATACCAATCTTTAGCATATACCTAGTTATTTGCTAGACTTTTGGGAGTTTACCCCTGATATCTGTTTCTTGATTGATCCACGTAATAACCTTTCTTTATTCTGGTTTCAGCATTTACTCAAATCTTTTCTGCGTTTAAGTTGTTGTTTCTGTTTCCATTCCTATTTCAAGGATGAGACATTGTTTTACCCTTGTCTCCAATGTTATGTGCGAGCAAATTTTTTGCTGTTATTCTGCGACCAATTTTATCAGCTGGTTTCCAAGCATATCTTATAGTGCTCCTTACTTGCAGAAGAGGAAGCTGTCAGATATGTTAGGTCCTCAGTGGAGCAAGGAAGAGTTGGAGCGCTTTTATGAAGGATACCGCAAATTCGGAAAAGAATGGAAAAAGGTTAGTTCAATTAGTAAAATAGACATCAATTAACATTTGGAATATGATTTGTAGTACAACATTACATTATTCCAAAAGAAGGGTAATAAACTGCTGCCATAGTTTCCGATAAATGTTATGGGTATGGTAATGTCATTTTTACAATAACTTTGGTTTGCAGAACCAGCAATATTTATGGTGTTTTTTCCTCTATGGTTGTAGGTGGCTGCATTTGTACATAGCCGTTCTGCAGAAATGGTAGAGGCCCTATACACTATGAATAAGGTCAGCATGTTCTCCTCCTTCTTTGATTTGTATTGTGATATTTTTCTAAACATTTTCAACTTATATTATGCCATCTGTACTTTAGGCTTACTTGTCTCTTCCGGAAGGCACTGCTTCTGTGGTTGGCCTAAATGCAATGATGACGGATCACTACTCTGTTTTGGTAAGAGTTTTAAACCATTCAAATATGGTTATAACTTACACGCACTTGGTCCAGTTCAGCATACTTATTTCCATTTGAAACTCAAAAAACAATTATACATGTCTTCCACCCGTTCGTATGGAACATCTGTCAACTAGAGGTTTGTTTGTTCAGATTTTGTCACTTGAAAATATAGTTTAGGCGTTTAGCTCAGGAAAGACAAATTCTTACATTCGTTTGGTTGGGTGTTTCTTTGTTAAGCATTATGCATATCTTAGAAACATGGCCAGCTAACTTTTTGAATTTTTGGGGACGTTAGTGACGTTGATTGTTGTTGAGCCTTGTAAGTAAAGTATTTCCATTTCTGTTGTGAAGGAATATAATGTGGTAGTATGGGGTGGGTTTGATTTCATATTGTTATGTAACTGAGTTCATCTCTTCTCTAGCATGGAGGAAGTGACAGTGAGCAGGAAAACAATGAAGGTATTGAAACTCCGAGGTCAGCCCCTAAGCGCTCTAGAGTAAAATCCTCAGATAATCCCTCTATAGGACTAGAGGGTCTGTCTGACCGCTTGCAATTTAGGTCCTCCTCAGGCTTCATGCCGTCACTGAAGAAGAGACGTACTGGTAGTGTTCTCGGTTTCTCTTTTCCTCAAAATCTGTTTACCCATTTCACAAGCACGAGTTGTGCGAGCACATACAATTCTATATATGCATGAGTCTTTTCTTGGCGCAATTTTTTTTTCTCAACTATTGCAGTCTTGCTGGTGTCGTACCATGTCGTTGATGCCTTTCAGAATCAGCTTAGATAGAACTACTCTTTCCTTTATTTTACCAGCATCAATATCGTACACTAGAAATTTGTAAAATAGAAGTATCTTGAGAAGATGCAACTCAAGTTAGTACCCTCCCTAAATGTATGAAGAAGGATAAAAATGATCTTCCTTCCCGGAATTTTATTGGCTCATTAACTATCTCTGTCCAATGGAAACGATCTAATGGTTGCTAACTTTTCTGTTAATCGTAATTTGCATGTGCCAAGAGACTGTGCCTCGTGCTGTTGGAAAAAGGACACCTAGAATTCCTATCTCATATACCCTTGAGAAGGATACTAGGGAAAGATATTTATCACCTGTTAAGAGAGGTCTAAATCAGAAGGGGGATGATACTGATGACGATATGGAACATGAGATAGCATTAGCATTGGCTGAGGCTTCACAGCGAGGTGGCTCTACAAAGAATTCCCACACACCAAATAGAAAAGCAAAGATGTACCCCCCTGATAAAAAGGGTGAAAGAATGGTAATCTCCTTTACTGTTACTTATGTTTCATGTACTCTCTTCATGAAGCTTGTGATTCTCAAAATGTGTGCTGCTTGTCTAGACTATAGGAAGAAGTTTTAAGGAACCTTGGTTTTCCTACATGATAGCCTATTGCAAAATCAAAGTAGAAGGAAATAAACCTTTTTATGTAAGTAGGAACTGTTTTATAGAAATATGGACTAATATATTTTGATATTCAGCGTGCCGATATTGACTTGGCGATTGCCAAGCTTCATGCCACTGATATGGAAGATGTCCGCTGTGAACCAAGCTTAGGAAGCACTGAAGCTGATAATGGGGATTATTCTGGAGGTAGAAATGACTTGATGCATGGAGAAGGTTCTAGTGCCGTGGAAAAGCAGCAAAAAGGAAGAACGTACTATAGGAGGAGATTAGGCATTAAAGAAGAAGATGCAAAAGAAGCCTGCAGTGGTACAGACGAAGCACCAAGCTTAGGCGCTCCCGATGAGAAATTTGAACCAGAAAGGGATGGGAAGTCTTTGAAATTCACGTATAAAGTTTCAAGGAGAAAAAGTAAAAAAAGTCTCTTTACTGCAGGTCTGTTCTAGTCTCTCACTTCGCTGTCTAAATTTACCTATATGCAATGCGTATGAATGTAGGAGAAAAAGGAATTCATAGAAACTTCAATTCCTTTATTCAAAGCACCCCTAGAAATGCAGGTGAAGACATGCCTATACTTAGGAAAACCATCAGTTAGAGTCCAGTTATCCAATTAAAGAAATAAGACTTCATCTCAACCAGCAGATACACTTATGAAAGTATATTGGAAATCATAATTTGACTTACTAGTGTATTTAGTGGTCACTCTATCTTGTGTTTGTCAACTTTATTATTTCTGATCAATGACAATTTTTTGGTCTTGATAAACTTCGGGAGCAACTACTGCCTGTTTCTGTTACCGAGCTTGGAATTAAACCAAATCCATAATGGATTATGATTTCATTCTTCCTGAAGATTCTCCTTAGCGATGACAATGTATAGAAGCTCCTTTGCGTCTGTTTGGAATTCAACTCATGACATTCATTTGAACTAATAATTATAGCCATTCTTTGCATATATGCATGGTAGTGTTGCCATGTTTCAATTTTTACTGTTTATACCGGCCCTTCAACTTCTTTTTCTTCTAAATGCTCTCTGCAGATGAAGACACAGCATGTGATGCTCTCCAGACGCTGGCAGATCTATCGCTGATGATGCCTGAAACTGCTACAGATACTGGTGGGATACATATGTTTGACCTATAAGCAATATACATTTAAAATTTTAAATGGGTGTCTAATTGGCCATAGCATATAATTACACTAATACGCAATTAAGTTCAGAGTCAGATTTACTTTCATGAAAATTCATGATTGTTAGCTAATTTCTCAATAATTTTGATGTAATTTCAGAGTCATCAGTTCAAGCTGAGGAAAAGAGAGCTGGAAAAGCTTATGTTTCAGATTTTAAAGGGACTGATCCAGCATCCATGTCTAAAAGTAGTTCTCTTAGAAACTCCAAACAGAGAAGATCCGGCACCAATGACCTTTGTGATACTGAACCCGAGCGAAAGAGTCCAAGTAGCTCTTTAATTCGAAAGAGACGGCAGAAAGTATTACCAGCTAAAGTAAGAGAAGATATATATATTTAGCAAAGACAGACTTGCTTGAATT